AGTAATGAGAAGTTTGGGTCCAGAGTATCACCTCTGGTGAACACAGTTCTGGACAAATAGAAAAACAAAAACCTTGGGCGGAAAGGGAAGAACCAGCCCCGAGTGAGAGAAATTCAACGGAGGAGCTAAGTAGTTAAGGTTAAAATAATAGCATTCGCACATGGATAGTTAAAAGGGGTGTGTGAGAAAAACGAAATGACAGCTTTCTAGCAGAACTAAAGAGAAATGGAAGCAAAAGCAGATGGAAATTCTATAGCAGAACAAAAGCGGAACAAACAAAGAATAATCCAGGAGGAGGTGGGAGTCAAACCAGACGGAAGAGCTTAAAAATTATCAAAGCAAAGCAATGGTGCACAGGGAGAGCGACACAGATTTGGGGCGGGGGTGAGTATAAGGCCTGGAAAGAATTTACAGGGACGCTGTGAAGTGTGAATGCAACATGCATGTGTTTTGCCCACATTTACATAATGCAGGCATCTTTGGTCAAGGGGCAACAGAGGTTTCAGGGAGCGCACCTGAACTCTTCCCTTGATTTTTCTCCATAATTCAGACTAGGAGAAGTGGTATGGTTGTGTGCAACCCACAATCATCCATACACACAATGCTTTTTACATGGAAAAGTGAGGTGCTGGTGCTCATATATCGATAAAAGTGCCGTAGATGCCAGCTCAAGATGGCTGCTATGGGTAGCAAAGAAGAGGTCCCAGACACCAGTACTCCATATCAGTGAAACACACAAAAAGCAACCACCACACATCCTGCCTCTGGCTTGCTTTCTATTCCCTGCAAATTGTGGATCAATACTATTTTATAATTAATTGACTGGATAAATGGATGTCATTTTGGGGGGAAAGAGTTTATGTGGTATTTTTATTTATTTTCGTACACTGCCCTGAGAACTTTTGTTGAAGGATAACTAAGCTACTGAATTATTGCTACCCAAAGCAGGACAAAAATAAATCAGAACATTTGTGGTATAAAAAGTTTTGGAATTTCAGCAGGAAGTTATGGGCTATGCACTGGTAAGAAATGAAGCAGTGTGGCTCCCCCCAAATCTTTGCAGGCACAAACAGTATTAAAAGTAGGAGGGATCCTGCATTACAAATACGTTCAATGCCTTTTGGATGGACCGAGCAACAGTCTAATTGAAATGGCTCAGTTACAGATAGGTAGCCGTGTTGGTCTGCCATAGTCAAAACAAAAAAAAAAAATTCCTTCCAGTAGCACCTTAAAGACCAACTAAGTTAGTTCTTGGTATGAGCTTTCGTGTGCATGCACACTTCTTCAGATACGTGTATCTGTACCAAAGCTCATACCAAGAACTAACTTAGTTGGTCTTTAAGGTGCTACTGGAAGGAATTTTTTTTGTTTTGAAATGGTTCAGAATCTTTTGGGCTTGATATTCAGATTGTTATTTGAAGAGAGCACACTCTTCATTCTTTCCTACTTCAGGCCTGTAAGTTATCAGAGTCTATAGGCCTTCCCAACTCTTCTGGATCAGTGTCTCTCTCCCTGGCCCAGGCTGGACTTCTGAAGCCTCTTGAGAACAATCCTATCTAAACTTAGCATTCTCCAACTACATCTAGAAAGAGAAGGAGGGTGGGTAATTGCTACACCTTATGCTGGTCAATACAAGCATGCTGGATTTCTGCTTGAGAAAGCAACTACAACATTTGACAACAGCATGGGTAACAGAAACAAACTGAAAATGAAATTAACACATTTATAGGCTCCAATACTTTGGCCACCTCATGAGAAGAAAAGACCCTGATGTTGGGAAAGATTGAGGGCACAAGGAGAAGGGGACGACAGAGGACGAGATGGTTGGACATGAGTTTGACCAAACTGCGGGAGGCAGTGGAAGACAGGAGTGCCTGGCGTGCTCTGGTCCATGGGGTCACGAAGAGTCGGACACGACTAAACAACTAAACAACAACAACATAGTATCAATCAATGTAAAGTTTGGGGCATCTTGCAAGACTACACAACAGAAGCAACACAATGAAGAAATAACAGAGTTAGCACGATATCATTTTACTTAACAATCCTAAATGACTCACTCCTCTTCTTTTCAATGTCAACAATGAGAAGGCGTGATTCTCTGTGTGTGATTTATGACAGCTCTTTCCTGTTCTTCTTTGAAGCAAGTGGGGGCAAGGAGGTAGCAGATAGAAGAGGAAGAAGAACCATTGCAGCTGAAAATTATTGAGTGTTATTGCACTCAGGTCCTGCTTGTGAACTTCCCATAGGTATCTGCTAGGGCATAGTGAGAACAGAATGCTGGACGGGCCTTTTGTATGGTCCACCAGGGCTCTTCTTAGGTTCATATGTACAAGAGACAGAGATCCTCGCTCTTGTACCCACCCATAGCGAAGAATGCAATATGGAGCAAACAAACCCTCAAAGTGAGGTCTCACGGAAAGAGGCTTATGCCTGTGCTACGCAGATAAAACCTGGCAGGGGAGGGAAGCTGGCAATCCTACACAGCTCTGACATTTCAATGCAGCTTGTGTGAAATAATTTCCTTGGTAATTATACCACCATCCAGGAAAGTCTGTTAATTATTATTATTATTCCATTTATTCCTCACCTTTCTCTCCAAGGAGTTGAAGGTGGCACACACAGTTCTCCCCCTCCCCAATTCTATCCTCACGACAACCCTGTGAGGTTGGTTAGACTGAGAGGCAGCGACTGGCCCAAGGCCACCTGGTGAGCTAATAATAATAATAATAATAATAATAATAATAATAATAATAATAATAATAATAATTTATTTATACCTCGCCCATCTGGCTGGGTTTCCCCAGCCACTTTGGGTGGCTTCCAACAATATATTAAAATACAATGATCTATTAAGCATTAAAAGCTTCCCTAAACAGGGCTGCCTTCACGGCCAAGTGGAGACTTGAACAACCCTGGGCTCCCAGGTCCTAGGCCGACATTCTAACTACTATATCACACTGGCTCTTCAGAAAGCACAGGACACATTTTCCTACCCTCCAACATTTCTCCAGTGAAAACAGGGAACATCTTAAGGAAAAGTGGGACCTTCCAGGATCAAATCAGAAACTGGGATGGCTTCTGTAAATCCAGTGCTGTACCTGGAGTATAGAGACACTTGGAAAGGTCTACATTTTATTTCTACAGGGGGGTGAGGATGAGGGGAATGGATGAACCTAGGAAGCTGTCTTATGCAAAGTCAGACCAGTGGTCCATCTAGGTCAGTGTTGTCCACCCTGACTGGGAGCACCTCTCCAGAGCCAGTGTGGTGTAGTGGTTAAGAACGGTGGACTTGTAATCTGGTGAACTGGGTTCGCGTCTCCGCTCCTCCACATGCAGCTGCTGGGTGACCTTGGGCTAGTCACACTTCTCTGAAGTCTCTCAGCCCCACTCACCTCACAGAGTGTTTGTTGTGGGGGAGGAAGGGAAGGGAGAATGTTAGCCGCTTTGAGATTCCTTTGGGTAGTGATAAAGCGGGATATCAAATCCAAACTCTTCTTCTTCTCTTCTTCTCCAAGATTTGAGGCCAGAGTCCTTCCCAGTCGTATCTGGAGATTCCAAGGATTGAACTTAGGACCTGCTGCTGCATGGAAACTCCCATGAACAACAGCCGCTTTCCTACGCTGCAGTCCTGAACAGCAAGCAAGCCGCTTCCTGTGTGGCATCTTTGCTCCACTATCGCCCACTGAAGTCTATTCCAGGCACCTAATTGGGGTGCCAATATGAGCCGGGCTGTCAGTTCTTCAGTGACTCATCAAGGCTGGGAGGATTTTCTGCTGCGCCAACCCTGAGGGAGGGTGGGAAGAGCTGTCAAGTTTATTTCTCTTCTAAATGGGAAAGAAGGGAGAGATATCTCTCATCAAAAGTAGATTATGAAGTGACTTGTAGGTTTGTCTTCCCGTAGGGAGATGCTGACAACACTTCTTTTTTTAAAAAAAAGTATTTCTAGCACATTTACTGGGGGGGGGGGTGAGGAATACATGGTAAGGCTAAGTCCCTGCCAGATTTCCTGACCACCCTTTGGGGGGAAGCAGCTTTTAGGCTGGGGTTACTCTGATTTTTTGAGGCTCAAGCTGAAAGCGAATGTGCCCTGGGCAAAGTCCTTTCTGGTGGGCCCTAGAGCCTGTCAGTAGGTTTACATATTAGGGAGGAGTTTGCTTCCTTTCAAAATCCTTATTTCAACTGCTCAATATGGGGCCAGGGCTGTGATAGCTTATGTGGTGCCAGCGAGATTTTTTTTGGACTACAACTCCCATCAGCCTCTGCAAGTGTGGCCAATGGCCAGGGATAATGGGAGTTGTAGTGGAAGAAATCCCAAGGGCACCCCCATGGGCTATTCCTGGCCCAGGGCCTCCTGTTGTCATTCTCTACAGCTGGGCTCACCCAGATGCCCTCGGCCCTTTTACTATGTTGCCACCACAGTCATTTGCCTCACAGGGCTATTTTAAAGGGTCATGGTGTGAAACCAATATGCCTGCCCATTTTTAAATAGCTATACATCTTCGTAGTATTGACATTTTGTCATTGTCAATTCAACTGGGCTCGTTCTTAAGTGAAAGCAGCACAATTAATGGAGAACAATACGTTAATTGATCTACATGACCAACTGGTCCTCCTATTAAATGTCTGTTTTGCACATGTCTGACTCAACGAACTGGAACTCATTAACCAGAGGAGGTGAGTTTCCATGAACCTATTCTAACCTGTTTTTTGTTTCCTGCCCACAGCCTTGAGGATTTTCTGCTTCACTAAAATAAGAAATAAAATAAAATATATAAAAAAGTGGGGGACCTGAGCTTTTTCAGTTCCACCTGCCACAAAGCACCGATTTGTTTGTGTTACAAGGTGAAATGGAAATGACACAGGGAGAAAGCACCTCGCTCACCTCAGCGGCCAACAACGAGGGACAGATCAAAAAAATTAAGATGTACCTCAGCCAATTCAAACATGTCAGGAAACCTTTGCAAGAGTGCAGAAAAGAAACCAGATTGCTGTAGAAATGGGCGCTTAACATTTCAGCTGGAAAGCACAGCTTCAATAAATAAATAAAAAAAGCAAGGAAACCAACTAAGGACCCCCAATGGCACACATATTTATTGAGAATCCAATAAAAGTCTCGGAACAAATAACCGGAAGGACCTGTAGACGCAGTCTCCACTGTAATAAAAATGCAATACAAGGCATGAGGGAAATAGTAAAGGGTGAGGGGAACAAGACTGTTCCATGAGAAAAATCAAACAAGAGTCCCATAGCATAAAACCTGGAGACACAAGCTGAGGATGCTGTAAAATTGCTGCCTTTGGGGAGAAAGAACAAGAAAAACAACAGGTTCTCTCTTTTTTAAAAGCATACAAAGAAACCCCAGATCCATATAAATGAAGCTAGGAATTCTGCACAAGCTGCTATAAAAACACATCGGAAAATAGGAAGAGAGTAACGACTTCTGAGCAACTAACTCCTGCAGGTTTCACCGAGAAAGCACGTGTGCTAGCTTGACAGCTGCAGGGAATGCTGCGTATGCTCAGGAGACCCGTGCGCATAAAGGTGAGCAAGCTGCAGTTGCAAATGACCCGGAGAAATTTAACAGGGTGCTTCCGTTCCATTCAGCTCAACGTGGCTTCAGCAAACGGGCCATCGTTGGTTTTAAAACGTGTTCAGCAAACCACGAGCCATCTCACAGCTTGTTTCTCCAAAGCATGGCTGGTTTTCCAGCAGCTCCTACTTCATGCCTCTGCACCTTGGCAAGTGTGTGTGTGTGTGTGTGTGTGTGTGTGAGAGAGAGAGAGAGAGAGAGAGAGAGAGAGAGAGAGAGAGAGAGAGAAACCGAATTAATTAAATTTATGGTGATTGTTACAACTATTAATTTATTAATATATTGGAGAAGGAAAACTCTGATCATAGACCTCTGCTGCCATGCGGCTACAGTCATGAAGAAAGAGTTCCGAAGTAAACTCGTACCTGCTGCCTTATGGGACATCTTCGGAAGAAGATAAAGCTAAGGAGGAAACCCTACACGAATCTGGAGCGGAATCTGTTGGATGGCACTTGTATGCCTCCTTCCGGCAAATCCTGCAGCCAAGCTGGTGTCAAATGTATTGCTCTGCTTTCCTTTGGAACACATCCGTGAGGCCAAGAGGAGGGTCTTGTTGTCTGGACAGCTCAGGAATCCCATACATCAGTGGTGCCCAAACTTGGCCCTCCAGCTGTTTTTGGACTACAACTCCCATCATCCCTAGCTAACAGGACCAGTGGTCAGGGGTGATGGGAATTGTAGTCCCAAAACAGCTGGAGGGCCAAATTTGGCCACCACTGCCATACATGTCACTTCAGTGCTGCTAACACAGCAAAAACAACACCGGAGGAAGCCGTTACACGTTATCTGTTCCTGCAGCCACAGCGGGTGCTGTGATTCTCCAGAGGTTTGATTTCGGCCCTGGAGGTGCACTCCATTGTCTTTCAAGACAGACGGATGCCAACGAGAAAACATTATACAATCATCTCAAGGCTGAGCACTTCCACCCCTCTGCTAAACAGCTCACATGGGCTGTTTTGTCACCCATTCCAATTTTTTGCTTGATGACAGAGCTGGAGATGATACACCATTCATAGAGTCTACATCTACTGCAAGTGATGAAAGCTTACCTCCAAGTGCCCTGGGGAAAAGGGACATCTCATTTTTTTCAAGATCGTGGCTGCCATTTTGGGTGCCATGATCCCGCAAACTCTTGAGCTGCACTCTCGCTTTTTTCCAGGGCGAGAGTGAGGCGTGGGTCACGTGACTCACCAGAAGAAGTTTGGTGCTTTTGAAAAAGTTGGATGGTATGCGAAAGCCTCTTTTATTCAGATTGGTGCTGTGCAGAGGGGGGAGCAGCCCTGCCAAGAAAAAAAGCACACATGCCCTTGGAGATGGACAAGTGATCAATCCAATAAACCAAGTAACTTATAATTTATTCCCCTACTGTTCTCCACTAACTATGGATATTGCTTAAAAAATAAAGTCACTAGCAAGTCAAGTTTTATCAGAGACTTTGATTTGTTAGCAAAATCACAGCTAGATGGATCTCTAATGAGCATGTCTCCACTGCTAAATTCATATTACATAGCAGATATAATTATAGCCATGTAGCAGCAGAGGGAAAAAACAGACTACAGGGCCTCTCCATTGACTCAGAAGGGAGCCAGAGGCTTTAGGCTCCTCGTCTCATTTTCCCCTTCCAACAGTTTGTTATAAGAACTCTATAGCTAAAAGTCAAATACCTGTGTTTGCTTTGTTCCTTCTCCCTCCCCATCACCTTTCTTTCGGCGTTGTGTTCTTTAGATTATAAGTCTGACAGTAGAGGCTGTAACAACGACAACAACAACAACAACATCTGGAAGCCTTTTTTTTCAGCCAAAGACTAGGATAAGAATCCTTCAAATCAAAAATAAAAATAGTAATCAGGCATAATAAGCCCTGGTAGTACTTGATAATTCGGTACTACATAATACTGGTATCCCTCTCTATTTGTACCTGTCTGACATCTATTTTTTTCTTTAAGATAACAATTTCTAATAAGAAACAATATAATTTACTGCTATACTCTTGCCAACATCACTTTTTGAACAACAAAACATGGGTTCTTCTTACCTTTGATGCCATTTTCAGTCCTATTATGCAGTGATCCTATGATGATTCTGTTATGATTCCGTAAATCAATGATTGTAGAGTGTTTGGAAAACCAGGAATGAGCTTAAATGCTTTGCATAACATCTTGCAAAATTCCTGTGTAATTTGGCAACTCCTGCATATCACATTTCATTGCATGTGCTTATTTTTCTTTGGCAATCTCTTTTCCACTTGAATGGCAAGGGGTGTGTGTGTGTGTGTGTGTGTGTGTGTGTGTGTGTGTTTATTCCCCTAAAAACAACTTGAGCACCAGTTTCATCTTGACTCACCACACCTGGGTAAAATCAAGATCACATGATCTGGAGGCACTTCTAAACAGGAAATACTCCATTTATTTTTTTAGCTGTGTTTGGGTAATAAAGTCTAGCATCCAAGTGTGAGCAACACATTTTCTTGTTTCATTAAACAGCATGAAAGGATTTATTACTTCTCTCCACCAAATGCATTTCTGGCTCTGAAAAGTGCAGGATGGCGAACGGCAAGGTAACAAGGTTAACAACATTGCAAGGGAACTCCTTTGGTAAGGTGGGAATTGACTGTGAAATACAAGGGAATCTATTTCACAAGTTTGGAGGCTTTGCTTGCTGGTGAAGACAGCATCTTGGGTAACGTTCCAACAATGCATTTTTTAAGCAGGTCTGAGCAGTAAACCCCTGTTCTAGCAATGGTACAAAAAAGAAATTTAGAGGGGATAGAGGAGGGAACAAAAAACATTCCCACGAAGAATGAGCTTGATCAGTGGCCATGGAATAAGAACAGAAGAAGGGTCTGTTGGATCAGGCCAAAGGCCCATTTAGTCCAGCATCCTGTCCTCACAGTGGTGTGGGATGTGGGTGGCGCTGTGGTCTAAACCAGTGTTTCCCAACCTTGGGCCTCCAGCTGTTTTTGGACTACAACTCCCATCATCCCTAGCTAGCAAGACCAGTGGTCAGGGATGATGGGAATTGTAGTTCAAAAACAGCTGGAGGCCCAAGGTTGGGAAACACTGGTCTAAACCACTGTTCCTCTTGGGCTTGCCATTCAGAAGGTTGGCTGTTCGAATCCCCGCAATGGAGTGAGCTCCCATTGCTCTGTCCCAGCTCCTGCCAACCTAACAGTTTGAAAGCACACTATAGCAAGTAGATAAATAGGTACCGCAGTGGCAGGAAGGTAAATGGCATTGCCATGTGCTCTGGTTTCCATCATGGTGTTCTGTTGCGCCAGAAGCGGCTTAGTCATGCTGGCCACATGACCCGGAAAGCTGTCTGTGGACAAACGCCGGCTCCCTCGGCCTAAAAGTAAGATGAGTGCCACAACCCCATAGTCACCTTTGATTGGACTTAACCCACAAGCAGGATCTGAGCACAAAAGCCCTCTCCTTTCCTGTGGCTTCTAGCTACTGGTATTAAGAAGCATTGCTGCCTTCAGCTGTTGGGATAAAGTATAGCCATTGTGGCTAGTAGCCATTGGTAGTCTTCTCTTCCATGAATCTGTCTGCTCCTCTTTTAAAGCCCTTGGAGTTGGTGCTGCCACCTGAGGGAGGGAGTGCCATTCTTTAACTATGAACTGCATGAGTATTTTCTTTCATCTATCCCAAATCTTCCAACGCTCAGCTTCTCTGGATGTCCACAGGACGAGTGTGATAAACATTGGCTCCCAGTACGTTTCCAAGCACAATTCAAAGTGTTGGTGCTGACCTTTAAAGCCCTAAATGGCCTCGGTCCAGTATATTTGAAGGAGCGTCTCCACCCCCATCGTTCTACCCGGACACTGAGGTCCATTGCCAAGGGCCTTCTGGTGGTTCCCTCACTGCGAGAAGCCAAGTTACAGGGAACCAGGCAGAGGACCTTCTCGGTAGTTGCGCCCTCCCTGTGGAACGCCATCCCACCAGATGTCATAGAGAACAACAACTACCAGACTTTTAGAAGACATCTGAAGGCAGCCCTGTTTAGGGAAGCTTTTAATGTTTGATGTATTACTGTATTTTAATATTTTTTTTGGAAGCTGCCCAGAGTGGCTGGGGAAGCCCAGGCAGATGGGCGGGGTATAAATAATAAATTATTATTATTATTATTATTATTATTATTATTATTATTATTATTATATCTCATGGACCTCTATTGCAATCCCAATTGCCTTCCATAAGTCAGAGAGCAACATTCTGAAGACTATCATGGAGGTCCACCATATGATGCAGAACCTCAACTGATGGGGTGTGGAGCTTAGAGGCTTAGCACCCTCTCCCCCTCCCTCTTGCATCCACATGTTTCTTCTAGAGTGGAGGATTATAACAGCTCAAGAGAGCTCATATGAGTGCCCAGTTCCATGGAGGCCCTGCTCGCACAAGTCTTTATCATTTTTTGACAGGAGTAATCACGTAAGTTGTGTCTTTGTGAGATCAGGCAGTCTTGTGGGATTGTTGAGCTCACATAACCTCATCTGCATGATAGAAGGAAGAGGTCTCCACATTGTTCCTCTGCCATGTGATCACCCACCCCATTTCATATGAACCAAAGGATAGTTTCATGTGACGCTACTTCATTGCAAGCCAAACACAGCAGGTTGTCTGATACATTTTCGGCCCAGCAGAGGGCAGCGGGTCTCATCATTATTTCCTTGAGGCTACCTGATCATAGTTCCTGAGAATGGTCCTCCCTATTCACATAGAAAGTGGTAGAGATGGAACAGTACAAAGAGAGAGGTGCTGAACCCTCATCCCTCTGCATCTTGCTTTCTCCTCTGAGCACAGCGCTCCCACAGGCCTCTGTACCCTGATTTATAAGGGATGTGGGTGGCGCTGTGGTCTAAACCACGGAACCTAGGGCTTGCTGATCAGAAGGTTGGCGGTTTTAATCCCTGCGACGGGGTGAGCTCCCATTGTTCGGTCCCAGCTCCTACCCATCTAGCAGTTCGAAAGCACGTCAAGTGCAAGTAGATAAATAGGTACCGCTCTGGTGGGAAGGTAAATGGCGTTTCTGTGCGCTGCTCTGGTTCGCCAGAAGCGGCTTAGTAATGCTGGCCACATGACCCGGAAGCTGTCTACAGACAAACACCGGCTCCATCGGCCAATAAAGCGAGATGAGCGCCGCAACCCCAGAGGGTTTGCAATAACCACATGTAGCATTGTCAGCTCTGAATGTTGTGAACTCTTATGCCTATTGGGAACTAGTAACCAACCTTAGCAGCATGACAGGCAGTGGCTCTCCAGAGCCTTAGGAAGGGACTTTCCACATCACCACCTTCCTGATCTTTTTAATGGGAAAAGTTGGATTGATTCTTAACTATTGCAAAAATTCCCATGGCACTGTCTGGTCACTGAGGGCTTCAGAAGAGGTTTATGATCATGCAACAGGTGGGTGCAAGTGCCAACAGTGAGATCCAAAACAAGGTTTTCTAGAGCTGGGGTTGAGCTGGCCCAGATCCATCGAATCCTGATGTAGTCCAGATGCTGTCATGTGGCAGCATTGGGCCCAATTTGGATGTTACCGCAGTGAGATGTCTACCACCACTTTCCACCATGCAGGGCAAGGCTGCAAGTGAAGTGACTGCCCTGCAGCTCCACAAAGCCACACTAGGCTGAGGTTAGGATTGCACCCTTGGTGTTTCTCTGTATTTTATTTAGCATATATATTCAAGTGATGTATGGAAGTGAGAGCTGGACCATAAAGAAGGCTGATCGCCAAAGAATTGATGCTTTTGAATTATGGTGCTGGAGGAGACTCTTGAGAGTCCCATGGACTGCAAGAAGATCAAACGTATCCATTCTTAAGGAAATCAGCCCTGAGTGCTCACTGGAAGGACAGATCCTGAAGCTGAGGCTCCAATACTTTGGCCACCTCATGAGAAGAGAAGACTCCCTGGAAAAGACCCTGATGCTGGGAAAGATGGAGGGCACAAGGAGAAGGGGGCGACAGAGGATGAGATGGTTGGACAGTGTTCTCAAAGCTACGAACATGAGTTTGACCAAACTGCGGGAGGCAGTGAAAGACAGGAGTGCCTGGCGTGCTCTGGTCCATGGGGTCACGAAGAGTCGGACACGACTAAACGACTAAACAACAACAACATATATTCAAGTCTCGAAAGGTACACTGCCCTGTGTTTGTGTATCTCTCTCTCTCTTTCTCTCGTTCTCACACATTCTTCTGCCACTGATTGAATGGCAGATTAGAACATTGCAATCAGGTCTAAACAGAAGGGGATGCCTCTTCTAAGCTTCTGTCTGCTGTGGCGCATCTAAAATTACCTACAAAGCGAAGAAGCACTTTTGTTTCCTTCAAAGGCGTTATCTGATTCATATGCAAATATATGCAGATTTAGGCAGCACTCCTGCGGACGCTTACTTGGGAGTAAATCCCAGTCAGTAAGGTGGGATTTCCTTCTGAATAAGTACACACAAGGGGACTGCTAATTAAGTAATTAATCTATTAACACATACAGTTCATCAACTAAGATTTATTCAGTTCAGTGACAGCTATAATAAAAAACGTGAGTGTGTGGCAGGGAGGCTCAAAACAGAGTTAGCTCAAGGGTCGTTCACCTATGATAAATGTGAAAACAGATCATCCTCTGTTCAGAGGAGTTCTGTGTTTAAAAGAGTCCTCTGACTAAAGGACTGTCCAGCCTGGTTTAAAGTTAAAACACCGTATGAAACGCTAAGAAGAGTGGCCTTGAAGCTACATATCAACAGTGGGCACTTGGACAGCAGATTGAGCTGGCCCACAAATCACCCAGTCCCAGCTTTCCTTGCTCTGGTGAGATCAGTGCTTTTTTTCCTGGGGGTACTCAAGGGCCCTTGCACCTTTTTTTTTCTAGAAGAAAAGCACTGGGTGAGATATATTTTGTTTTCATTTACATTATTTGTTCTAAATTTGCACCTGTGCATATAAAATAGCATATGCAACTTTCAGGCAAATCTGTTTTTCCTCCTTTTATTAGCATCTCATGCACAGGAGGCCTGACTGGTGCCATGTCTTCTGCCATTTTGGCGCCAGGTGAAAACTCACCTGTTTTGCCTTGGACCAATCTCTGCTGCTCAGTTGGTTTTCTCTGCTCCTGAAATTTGGGCTGAACTGTTTTATTGCATTGAAACCCACCCTGGGATCATATGAGGCGGATGCTCATTGGGAACAGTCAGGCGGAAAGCTGGGAGGCTACCAGCAGGTGGCGCCAGAGCCAACTAATTCTGGTTTGGTTCCAATCCTGCTGAATTTTACAATGGCAACATGGAGGAGGAGGAGAAAGCAGACCGCTGGTGGGTGCCACCCCCTAGACTGGTTTTAAGTAAGGAAGTAGGCAGGGGGGCTACCTGGGGGCAGACTAGGCTTGGTGGGGCAGTACCCGTGAAATATACTCGGAGTCGAGAGTGGATTTCTTGCTCTTTATTCAGCTCATAGTGGTGAGGAGGAATGGAAGTTCCCCCAGAATGTCTGCTTTAGATACATTATTTACACAATAGGCCCCACGTGATTGGCTAATTCCGGGATTCACTTGTAGGCCAATCAGGTTGCGGATTCACTTCCACCTGGAGCTGGATTGGGTGGCTCCTGTGGACCAATCAGACTGCTGCATTCTGAATCCTATTGTTCTAGGACCAATCAGACTGCTGCATTTTGGATCCTATTCAACTCAGTACATAACAACCCCACTTCCTTGCATATGACGGGCAGGCTAGAAATCCTGTTGTTAATTTATGTATTAATTAATAGTTCACCAGACACTGCAACAAATGCAGGTATCCCAACTAAGTTCTTCCATGGCAAACAGGCTGTTCCCTGTTGTTTGGCAAACCAGAAATAAATGATTGAGGAAGTGAATTACTTCCTAGCACAAAGTAAACAGTTTCTGTGCTCACTGCCTCTTTTTTTTTTTAGCATGCTGATCATGGAGGCTTGACTTCAAATATTTATGTAGGCTGCCAGGAGACAAAGAGCATCTGATCATTGCAAAAAACAACAATGGCTCCACATAGAATTTACATCTCATTCCAACTAGCTGCCAGTGGCCACCGGGGAGTTCTCAATGGTGGTTTTGTGTCGAGAAATGCATGCTGCAAAATGTGCTTCGCGGTGTGCATTGTTACAAGCCTCTTTCAGGGAGAAACGGAGGGGAAAGGGAATGTCAGAGATTGAAAACCAGGTCTTCAATAAAGCTGCACGGATGCCGCAAGACTTGACAGTGAGTCTGGTCAGCATTTGAGCCAACAACATGATAAATAGTTCCTCCCGGCACTTAGTGCATGCTAAACAGCAGACACTTTACATATGCTGAAGACTGCTGCTTCTGGGTTGTTGTTTGTTTATATTCCTAATGAGCATGCCTTGCAGTCCTCTAGGGGCCCAGTCCAGGCAGCTTGTAAGAGAAAGCAGGAGCAGAGGGAGCTTACCATTGGTCCATCTAGGTCAGTATTGTCTACACTGACTGGCAGCAGCTCTCCAGGGTTTCGGGGGGGGGGCTTACTTCTGAGTAGGCATGGCTAGGGTTCTTTGCATGTCAAAGGTCCTACCTGCAGTTTCTGGGTTCAATCCCCAGCATCTGCAGGTAGGACCTTTTGCATGCAAGGCAGAGGTCCTCCCCCAAGCTATGGCAATGAAAGCAACAAGAAGAAGCAGTACAATTGGCAGTGCAACCCTAGCCATGCCTACTCAGAGGTAAGGCCCTCTGATTTCAATAGGACCTACTCCCAGGTGATTGTGCAGAGGTTTGTTGCCTAAAACAATTATAGAATACAGCAGGGGTGGCAAACATTATTGTTATGTACTGAAGTTCTCACCCTGGGCCAGCAGGGGGATACTGTAGATAGTTTTCACTCAGGTCCACATATGCAAATAAGGAATTGAAAGTGACGTTCAGTGATTGGATAGTTACAAAAAGTTGCTACTGTTGCTTCCGGGTCATGTGGCCAGCATGACTAAGCCGCTTCTGGCGAACCAGAGCAGCGCACGGAAACGCCGTTTACCTTCCCGCCGGAGTGGTTCCTATTTATCTACTTGCACTTTGACGTGCTTTTGAACTGCTAGATTGGCAGAAGCAGGGACCGAGCAACGGGAGCTCACCCCGTCATGGGGATTCGAACCACCGACCTTCTGATCGGCAAGTCCTAGGCTCTGTGGTTTAGACATTTATTTCCTAGGCTTTAGGATCATGAAGGAAAGAGGCTTTTAGTGTGGTGGTGCTATGGATGTTGTCACTGCCATCTCTCCTAAGATTGGATTGTGGTTCTCTGATTTTAATTTTATTGACATTAAAATTTATTATTACATTACAATGAATTAAAATTTATTATTACATAAATAGCTTTCCTGTGAGCACACTGTGCTCCTGCTTTGAGGAAGGGCAGGTTAAGGAAAACTGCAAACGAATAGATAACCAGATAGATAAACAAATTGCCTAAAATATGAATAGAACATAGCAGTGGCGTAGCGTGGGTTGTCAGCACCCGGGGCAAGGCATGTAATTTGCGCCCCCTAACCCGTGGATTTGCGCCCCCTAACCTGTGGATTTGCCCTAACCCCAGATGTTGCGCCCGGTGCGGCCGGGCCCCCCTGCACCCCCCACGCTACGCCACTGGAACATAGTGCATGCTTTTGCTGCTAAGGAAGACAAAAGGCTCAATGATTTCATGCCTTAACTGTACCTCAGGGCATTCTCTTATTTGAAAGAGGTACAGCATTGTGTTGCCACATATGAAATCCAAGCAAGAAGTGTCGTTTTTAACAAGCTAATGACTCAACTATCAGCTGCTGGGCACCGTGCCCAGGTATCGCCCGCTTTCCACGGAAAGATGTTTACCTTGATAGATGCTTGCACAGTCTGAAGATGCAGTCTGAATTGCACTTGACGAAGCAGGTACTTAAATCAGCAGATGAACTGAAATAAATATTGGAAATGGGAAGAGATTGTATAAGTTTTGTCTAGCCTCATGAGGAAACCCTTCTCTCAGCCAGCTCTTGAAAGCACCAGGTAGCTGACGGAGGTAAAGAAAAGAAGATAAACACCCAGACAGAACTTCTTCCTCTTAGCTTTCTCTCTCTCAACAGTCTGGCTCTCCTGAGCATAGCTTTGGGGAAATTAATGCATTTGGGATTTTGTGGAAGTATAATTGCTTTCTTGCCCAGTTTTCCAGTCACCCATAGGAAACCTGCTCCCAATTGTGGTTCGTTTTGATTCTATTTTGTTGCTGTTGTTTATTAGAGCTATATACTGCTCTTCATCAAAAGATCTCAGGCCGGTTCACAAGATAAAAATACAAATAAAAAGTTTAAACACAAAAACAACAAAACAATACCCTGCACAGCACAGGGTGAGCACAACAAAATCCCAATTCTCTGACCTCCCTCCAACAACCTTGACGATTCCTGAGTCAGAACAGGTAAATTCTGAGATCATTGCACTAGCTGCCAGTGAGCTAAGGTAAAGGGACCCCTGACCACTAGATCCAGTCGTGGCCGACTCTGGGGTTGCGGCGCTCATCTCGCTTTATTGGCCAAGGGAGCTGGTGTGCAGCTTCCGGGTCATGTGGCCAGCAGGACTACGCCGCTTCTGGCGAAGCAAAGCAGCGCACGGAAACGCCGTTTACTTTCCCGCCGGAGCAGTACCTATTTATCCACTTGCACTTTGACGTGCTTTCGAACTGCTGGGTTGGCAGGAACAAGGACCGAGCAACGGGAGCTCACCCCGTTGCGGGGATTCGAACCGCTGACCTTCTGATCAGCAAATCCTAGCTCTGTGGTTTAACCCACAGCGCCACGCGCGTCCCTTTACTTGGACCCAATTCCTAGTGTTGGTCCTAGTGTAAAAAACTGTAAATATCTTGGGTTCCAAGGACTATTTATGTATTAATTTCATTTTTAAAAATGAAAGCAATTCACAATATAATAAAAAGCATAATTCAGAACAATTGCATACTTAAAAAACAACAACCAGCCAAAGCATTTGCATATATAAACACAATTTAAATCAAAACAACAACACACACACCCATATAAATCCACTGAAATCCAGTAGATACCAAATGGGATAGAAGTCCCCATTTAGAGCTCAACAGAGGGAGAAGAGGAATTATGGATAAGCGCTTAGAAGGCTTCTTGAAATATTTTGTTGGGAGCCACGCAGAGTGGCTGGGGCAACCCAGTCAGATTGGCAGCATATAAATAATAAAATGATGATGATGATGATCTTCAGCAGGTGGCAGAAGCACAACAGAGAAGGTGCCTGCCTGATACTTTATGGGAAGATATTGCAAATGGTTAAGTGCCACCACATTAAAGGCCTGATTCTGACATAATGCAGAACAGACCTCCAGATGATGATAGTAAGATGCAGAACAACATACAAGATATGTGGGGGATAGGATGATGAGGCAAATCATAGTCATCAGGCTTACTAGCCACTGATAGACTTATCCTCCATGAATCTGCCTAATCCTCTTTTAAAGTCATTCAGGTTGCTGGCCATCATTGCCTCCTGTTGCAGTGAGTTCCATAGTTTATCTGTGCACTGTGTGAATAACTACTTTTATCTGTCTGTTCCAAATCTTCCAACATTGAGCTTCATTGGAGGCCTACAAGTTCTGATGTTATGAGAGAGGGTGAAAAGCTTTTCTCTATCTACTTTAGATCATGCGTTCCTGGGCTGTGATAGTCTGAGCTCTGTGATCCATGCTCAAATATTGTCCAGTGTAAAGGTAAAGGGACCCCTGACCATTAGGTCCAGTCGTGGACGACTGGGGTTGTGGAACTCACCTCTCTCCATAGGCCGAGTTTGTCCGCAGACAGCTTCCGGGTCATGTGGCCAGCATGACTAAGCCACTTCTGGTGAACCAGAGCAGCACATGGAAGCACCGTTTACCTTCCCACCGGAGCGGTACCTATTTATCTACTTGCACTTTGACATGCTTTTGAACTGCTAGGTTGGCAGGAGCAGGGACTGAGCAACGGGAGCTCACCCCGTCGCAGGGATTCGAACCACCGACCTTCTGATCGGCAAGCCCTGGGCTCTGTGGCTTAGACCACAGCGGCACCCACGTCCCATTATCCAGTGTAGATTATTACAATGTGCTATACATGAGGCCAATGGGCACCTATGATAATAGGCGTTACTTGCCCCTCTCATTCTGTTCCCTACCCAATTTAAAATGAAGTATTCACCCCCTTTTTTGCATATGTATTCTCTCTTGATCATTGTTGAAATGCAAGCAACTTTTGTATTATAGGCTAGATAAATGTTTCAGTAGTGACCATCAACAATGCTCAGTGCCTGGCTGAAGATCATTAAGATAAAATTTGCTGAAATGCTATTGCTGAATGTTCTGGTGCTAGATTAGTCATCTTTCTGTTCCATGTCAGGAAATTCAGCATTCGGGCCATGCGGCTGACCCATGCTGTGGTTAACAGTCGTCATAATTGTGTCACAAGCTAATGGCAATTTGATGTAATTGGCCAAACTTGCCTCAGGACCTCTGCCTGTCATAGGCTGGTGACAGTTCCTTTATAAGCTTGCCAGAGAACTGCCATAAGCTGCGGAGTGCTGCCAACCCGACTACATTAGACCCTCGCTGTCTTTGCAGATTATTGCAAAGTTACAGCCAGTTTGCAGCAATTTAGCAGCCAACGGTTTCGACTTTTCATGTGGGCGGAACAGCTGCAGGACTTAATCCTTCTTAGACAGAAATGTGAAGTCGGAAACCAAAGAAGAGATCCTATCAACAAGCAGCACCAAACGCTGGCAGTGAGAACGTCTGCAGAAAAAGAAAATGTGTGCAGCAACGAGGCTGCAAGTTATTAGAAGGAGGGGGGGGGGTTTCATAGCAATTATACATTTTCCCTTTGGCTCTTTCTATAGAGTTTGGGCTGTGGTTCAGATGTTTACCAAGCCTTCACATGGAGGAAGAGTGTGCAACTTCGCCTCCAACGTTCAGATGCTGGGTGCCTCCAGACTACCAGTATTTTGCAGAAGGGATTCCAGCACATACTAGGAAATGTAGGTTTGTGCAACTAAAGTGGATTAAAATGCTGCTGTTGCCCCTACTGCATATAACCCACTGTTAAAAAGAAACCGACTTTTTACGATCAGGAAAGTGACAGCGAAAAGCATTGAGACATTTTGGATGAAAGGATGAACAGGAAGACCTACAAACATCTCACAAGCAAACCAGGATGAATGGTCATTGTCATATAACCTCCCCACAAACAAATCAGAACAAATGCTCAGCAAAGATATAAACAAAGAATGCTCAGCCAGATATACATTCCCCTGTTTGATGTGCTGCCTGGCCCATGCCCAGTTTAAAGGCAAAGAACCATGAGAAGGGAGAGCAATTTGAAGTTGTCAGTCAAAAGTTGGCACCAGGAAAGCATACTGATTAGACACTCAGGTAGTTTGGACACAGGTCACTGTGGTGAGATGTACAGTATTGAAGTTCTACTATAGTAATATATCTCTAAATGTTCAGGTATCTTCTTCTTTGGCGATCACTCGTAGCCAAGTAAAATTGTCTTCCATAAACACGGTTTTAACAATGAGTCCATAAGTGACTGTAGAGGCCAATTCTGGATCCACACATCCTTCCACAGTGGGGACATTGGTCCCCAGGCGGGAGGTGATCATGGTGTAGATTTGCCAAGTGTGCCTTCCTCTTAGCACGTTTCTCCCTTGCGTCCTGAGTTCGAGTGTCTTCAAAGCCCATGACACCTTTGGTAAAAGCTGTTCTCCAGTTGGAGCGATCGCAGGCAAGTGTCTCCCAATTGTCAGTCTACATTTTTTTAGATTTTTAGATTAAAGACTACATTGAGACAGTCTTTAAACCTCTTTTGTTGACCACCAGCATTACGCTTTCCATTTTAAGTTCGGAATAGAGTAGTTGCTTTGGAAGACGATCATCAGGCATCCACACAACATGACCAGTCCAATGAAGTTGATGCTGAAGAATCATTGTTTCAACACTGGTGATCTTTGCTTCTTCCAGTACACTATAAATTAGCATTGACATTTTTTTTATAATGTGCAGCTTGCCACTTTACATAGAATTTCTGCATGTTGCAAAGGATTATGGGTCACATTCCTGGGTGCCTTTCACTTGAGCCTGGAAGTGAATTAATGGAGAGGAGACCTTGTAATAATATCAAGCCTAAGACTACCCTGCGGGATGCGAGTGGCACTGTGGGTTAAACCACAGAGCCTAGGACTTGCCAATCAAAAGGTCAGCGGTTCGAATCCCCGTGACACGGTGAGTTCCTGTTGCTTGGTCCCTGCTTCTGCCAACCTAGCAGTTCGAAAGCACGTCAAAGTGCAAGTAGATAAATAGGTACTGCTACGGCGGGAAGGTAAACGGCGTTTCCGTGCGCTACTCTGGTTCGTCAGAAGCGGCTTAGTCCTGCTGGCCACATGACCTGGAAGCTGTATGCCGACTCCCTCGGCCAATAAAGTGAGATGAGTGCCGCAACCTCAGAGTCGGTCATGACTGGACCTAATGGTCAGGGGTCCCTTTACCTTTATGCTGGTCAATACAAGCATGCTGGATTTCTGCTTGAGAAAGCAACTACAACATTTGACAACAGCATGCGTAACAGAAACAAACTGAAAATGAAATTAACACATTTATAGTATCAATCAATGTTAAGTTCGGGGCATCTTGCAAGTCTATACAACATCTGACGGATGGGCATCCCAGAGTCAGGGTGGGGGGAGAGAGAACAAAGAAGCTGGCTAGGGGAAAAGCGCTGTGGAGAGAGGGATGGTTTTCGTTCTTCCTTTTATTAATTAGATTTATTTGCTGCCCTTCATCACAAGGTGAGTCATAGCAATGCAAAAACACGGTATTATTTAAAACAATTTACAGCCAAAAGAATAGGGTGGGTCTAGGGATGGATGAATTTCTCGATTTAGTTGCTCTCAATTTCCTAGTCTTTAGTTCTCCACATTTCTGCATCAGATGGAGATCATTATTTTTTTTAAACCCTTCTGCAAATTCACCATTATTTTAGTGCAAATTTCTCCTGATATTCACATTTAAATGCATTTTTTTCCTGATATACACGTTTAATAGCTTTTTTTCCTTGATATAATGCTTTCTATATGTTACTTTCACTAATCTATGTTAACCACACTTTCCCTTAATATGCGCATTATTTGGTTTGAGAGGCGCATCACCAAATCTGGAGAAGAGCTGATTTTGAA